TACTTTGATTGTTGGTGCTTGCCGAGTCAATACGCTTAGAATGTTATTAAGAAGATGTGAAACTTAGATGTGTCGGAGAATACAATTATATTAGAACATAATTGCTTAGTTCTAGCCATGCAAAAAATTAAATTTGTAATTTTAATGTTTCGAACATCGCGTTCGAAAAAGATTTTTTTAAACACGTTCATACTAGCATTATCATGTGATATCATATTTTACTCGTGCAACGCACGGACATTTATCTAGTATGATAAAATACATGTCACGATGGCACGGCCATAAAAAAATATGTATACCTATATCTTATTAGAACCACGTTCAAACACGTTCATACTAGCATTATCATGTGATATCAAAGAGATAAAATTTCTCTCCACCTTTTTTTTTCTAACAATCCCTTAACTAACTTTGTGAATGTGGAAAATCACCTATAACCCTTCTCTTTATATAACTAGGTGTAGGATCTCTAGTTGGCCTAAAGAGAGGGGTGAATAGGCCTATCAAAACAAACACTCAAACTTTTATTAAATTCATCATGCGGCACTGCCGCTCTGGAGGACGGCACTGCTAGACTGCGACAATGCCAGACCAGAACAACAGCACTACCGCACCTGCAAATAACTTTGAGTCACAGTTCAAAATCCGTGAACGAAAACTTAGATCGGAGAAATTTTCTAGCTTACTGCAGGTATGACAATTACAGATCAAAAGCTAGAAGTGGTAGAAACACCACACACAAGTAGATCGACTAAAAACTCTAGAAATCACCTCAACCATAATATGTCATGCAAGTAATATAAATCAAGCACAAGTGACACAATGATTTATCCCGTGGTTCAGCTCGCCACCAAGGCTTGCCTACTTTTACGTTTTTGAGGTTAGCCACTAAGACTTAGAGCTTTCCAGCCCTTCCTCGTTCTCAAGTCAAGAGACTTAACTCTTGAGATGAGGGGTGGGTTTACTAGCTTCAAGAGATGGTTACAAACATTCCGGGGCTGCCACACAAGTTGTCAAGCTCTACGGACGACGCTCTAGCCGCCTAGGAGCCAAGCTCCAAGAGTAACAAACACAACCGTCGGCCAAAACATGAAGCAAGTGCTCTTTAGAGTTGGAAAATCAATGGAGCTGCTCTCTAATCGAGTTTGGGACCATTTTCCTCAAGGATTGGTGGGGAAAATCAATGGATTTGCTTGAGAGCTTGAGATCAATAATGGAGGGAGAGAGAGAGAGCTCCTGCTCTGCTTTGGACATGCTCAAGTGAGGAAGAAGAGTCAAATCTTCGTAGGAAGGAAGGGAAAAAGGTATATATATATATCTACCCCTAGCCCCCAATGGTCACTTAAATCGCAGATAGCCGTTAGAGATGAAAGGGAAATATATATATATACCCTAGCCCACAATGGTCACCGCACTCAAAGGGTCGGGCGAGACGAAGCCCATGGCTTCGAGGTCGGGCGAGACGAAGCCTACGACCTTGGGGTCGAACGAGACGGATCCCATGACCTTGGGTTGGGCGAGACGGATCGCGCGACCTTGGGGTCGGGCGAGATGGAGCCCACACCAAGGGGTCGGGCGAGACTGATTCCGCGACCTTGGGGTCGGGCGAGACGGATCCTGCAATCTTGGGGTCGGGCGAGACGGAGCCCGCGACATTGGGGTCAGACGAGACGGAGCCCGTACCCAAGGGGTCGGGCGAGACGGAACCCGCACCCAAGGGGTCGGGCGAGACCGTTTAACACGTCTCGAGCCATCCGGGGAAGTTAGCGTGGGTGCTAACTTCCTTGTGCCGCGACTCAAGTGCGGCAGTGCCTCTCTTTAAGTATGACAATACTGCACCACGCAAGACAGTAAGGGTAATAGTGAAGTGGGAACTGTCTTGGCTGTGGATCTAAGGATGCGTGTGGTTGTTTAAGCACTTGGTAGCACATATTAGCTTAAGCATTGTGTTTCCCTTTATAGTACGGCTTTTTCTATACTCAAATTTAAGATATAAAAGAATTTTAAATCTCTTTTGAGTTTGAAGTCATCTATGTTTGTAATTGGGGGCTCCTCCGTTTCGTGTAGCATCCTTGAATATAAAATTCCCTGCTTGTCATCTCGATAAATTTCATTAGTTTTCTAATTACGTGGTCATTATCATCAAAACCCATAAATAAGGCTTGATTGTACTTTCAATAGGAATCTTAATCCAATTAGATCTCTCTGATTTCTGGTGAATAGAAATCTTAATCCAAATAGAAAAAATATAATAATAAAGACAACTAGAAATCTTAATCCACTTAGATCTCTTCAACTCCAAGTATCCGGAATAGAAATCTTAATCCAAATACAAAAATATAAGAATAAAAATCTAATAAAAAGAAAAGAAGGGTAGAATTTATTTCTTTAGTTTCTTTTATGTCCAGTGAGGAAACCGCCCACACCTGTCAAAATAAAACAGAAAAAATACAAGCCTACTCGTCGGGGAAAAAAAGCAAAAATACAAGCCTAGCCGGGGATCATAGCCAGATCCCATATATATTAGTTAAATAAATAAATAATAGAAAATCATATAAATACCGCACCATATGTTTTATATGATCTATAATAAAAAAATTATATTCAACGAGTAGTTAACACCTTAGAGTTTACGGGACAACAGAAGTGTAAAACCATGGCATTGCATATATTAGATTAATCTGCATATTATATATATAATATTAAAATATCTAATGTCCATGTTAGAGAAATCCACATCCATGCATGATAGAGAATTTGATTCAAAACGAAATGAAATTGATGATGCAATCACTGTATAGAGGCTGATTCTAAGACAAAACGTGTCTATACAAGTTTGTAGGCCTGAGCATAATTAACCAAAACCGAAAGAACCGGAAACGAAAAATTTGGCTCGTAATATTGAGCAACCGCAATAACCGAAGAAAATTCGGTTCGACAAATTTTTATGAGCCCTTTAAAAGAGTCGCCAAACTCAATATCTACCAACACATGGATACTTAAAGTTAAAGTTATGGTATCATTATGAGTACATCTTTATGCCTTATGACTAAAGAAAAAAAAATTCTGGCAAGACTTATTTTACCTTAACATTAGATAGTTTTTCTGTTGCAACGCACGAGCATATTTGCTAGTATATATAAACACTTAATGCATATAAACCATACGATCGACATTATCTAAAGCATATACATACATTGCGCTTATGGAACAACTACTTTAGTGACTGGATAATCAATCGCAACATGTTTGGCTCGTGGGTCCACTCCATCCGACACCGGTTCATTGCATACACACAGTGTCAAGTCGTGCTTCGTTTTTAGGAACGAATTGATTCTTGCCTTGTATGAGTTACTAAATGGAATGACTCGGTGACGAATGACACGAATTGAAGATGCAACAAAAACACTCATATGAGCTTTGGTGCTAGGACGGGATGATTCTGATTTGAGCCGCCTGCCAAACCAAATATCTATTAAACACCCATGCGCTTCGGAGGCTTGATTCAGTTTGGGTACAGTCGATGATTTGGTGTACTTTTTTTCCTGAAAAGGTTGGTGTACAATTTAAGTTTCGACTGCACTCAGCTCACGTGTATAATGAACGAACCCTCCTAATATGCCGTCATTCGTAATCGCAGCACTAATTCGTAAGTCAAATGCCGCTGTAAAGAGCAGTCTATCATTCAAATCAAAAATTGTAAAAACCCCCGATGAAATCCACCGTTTTCTGTTCTCTTTCCTTTTTCTTTTTTCTTTTTTTTTTAAAAGAGCAAACTGAACTGTAAAATATCTAGAATACCCCTGGCCTGGCCGCCTCGCGTCGCGGCCCTAACGAATAATCCTCTTCTTTACCCTTCCCCTCGCGGCCGCTGCGGCGAACGCGCACGCCTCCGCCAAAAGCCGAGCAAGCCACCGACCTCGACGGAGTCCTCCTCTCGCCCGTCACCCTCGTTGTCGCCCTGCTCCTCCTCCTCCACCACCTCCTCTCAGCCGGGCCGGCTGGCGTGCCGTGAAGATCCGTCCGGACCCGGAACGAGTTCCCTCTTTTGCTGGTAAGCAAACCCTAGCTTGCTTTTGGATGGGTTGCTGTAGGATTCAGTGCCGTGCTGCGGGCTCTTCTATCGAGCCGTGAGTAGCCGCCGTGGTGGATTTCACTCGCCCGTTCTGCTGCGGATTTTGTTTGCCGTGTGGATTGGTACTGCGACGATAGCGGTTTATTCGTAAGAATTTTGCGCGCGTTTAATCCGCTACGGAGTCGGGCCGTTTCTGGTCGAATTGATTCGCTACGCGCTTGTGGTTTTTGTTGTGCTAGAATCGTAAGAGGTGATTGAATTGGCAGGTTTCGTTGGGTTAGGGCCACACAAACATATGCAGCGGCACCACCACCAATGTAAACGGTGAAGGAATCGTGTGGTTTATTTGGGCTAGGGTTACGGTGCTATATGCAGAATCATCATTACAGTGGAAGATCTGAGCATTTCACTAAATTTTGTAGGCTATTCATGCTCAACTGGGTTATGCAGGTTACTATATAGGCCTTGTGTAATTGATAATTCAATCAATTGGATGTGTACCATGAGGTATATATGAGTTTGGATCTTGTGAAAAGAATGTTATCCTTTTACCTGTGAGTTGGATTTTGATATGAATGTAAATATGGTTTTGTTGCTTGTTCTGTTCCCTAGTATGAACATAGTGGAAATCGACACAAGTTTAGGTTTGGCATGTTCGGATAATGCGATGCAATGTGGTGGTTTCAGCCATATAGGTCGAGGAAAGGGACAATTTTTCACTAGATTTAACTTCTCTGGAAACAAATGATCTGTAATTCTGTATATGTGCACCCCGATGTTTTAGGCTTTTAGCAGAAATTTTTCTGTTCGCTCCTTGGTTTTTTCCATAGCTTTCTTATCTCCTGACTTTGCTGTTTGCAGGTTACATAAACTTTGGAAATACCATATTGATCTTTGTGATTGAAATTGAATTTTTTTCTGGACAATGGAGATACAAACTTCAGGGAAGCCCATTGATGTGCTGATGGAGAAGGTTCTTCGCATGAACATTCTGTCTTCTGATTACTTTAAGGTGCTCTATAGGTTGAAGACCTATCATGAGGTCATCTATGAGATCTACAACACTGTCGAACATGTGGAGCCTTGGATGACTGGCAATTGCAGAGGCCCCTCCACTGCATTCTGTCTTCTATACAAGTTCTTCACCATGAAGCTTACTGTCAAACAGATGCACGGTTTGTTGAAGCATTTTGACTCCCCATACATTAGAGCTGTAAGTTTCCGTTTCCTGCCCTTCTGTTTGCTGATGCTGAATGTCTTGCTTCATGGCCCCATATCTATTCATTAGGCATGAGGTTAGTGCATGAACCTAGATGTTTATCAGGATGATTATAAAACTTATTTCAGCGGTATTTTTGCAATGAAAAATCTTACATTCCTTGCGAGTCACTTATGCATAATTTTTTGCTTACATTTTGGTTATAGCCACTAACAGTCCTACAACTTGTTTCTTTGGTTCTTGGTCCTAGGACACGGGGATGACAAAGTTTGCAAGAAGTTCATAGTGTACCAGTCTGTGCTTTGGAGTTGTGAGCATATTTTTTTGTTTGTCTTTACTTTGCCTGTTAAATAATAAAATATTTTGTGGCGAATGACCATTTGGCGCTATTTGGTGCAGATTGGTTTCTTGTATCTTCGGTATGTTGCAGACCCAAAGGTTCTGTGGACGTGGTATGAGCCCTATTTGAGGGATGATGAGGTACGGTACTTTTCCCTCCTTTTTTTAATTGCTTGTTCATGTTTTTGTGCCCTCAAACTTGTAAGTAAATAACCACATAATTTTGCTATTATTGTACTCTTTCATCACTTTATAGGACTTCCATTTGATACCTGGAGAATGATTATTTGTCAACTTGATATAAGAATGTTCCACTGTAGATCTGTAATTGCCATGTGACTTGTATTGAATTGAAAGTAGATTGATTAAGGGTAATATACAGAGGAAAAAATATATAAAGGAACATTTATTTATGATTTGTGCTATGCTGCTGCTTTTATAATTAGCAGTTTGTTTTCTTTCTTCCTTTCTTTTTTGTTTGGTTTGTAATTCTTGTTGGGTTGCATCTCTAGCATACCCCAGCTTGATTGGGACTACTTAATTTGTTATTATTGTTGGCTATTTGTCTATGGCACTTTGACATAATCTATGTGGAATGATTGTCTCCATGTAATGTCATGTGCTACAGGAACTGTTGAGTATGAATCAGAGCTGAATCATTTGCAATTCTTTTTGTGGCGCAGGAGTTCTCCCCTGGATCTGATGGCCGCAAGACAACCATGGGTGTTTATGTGCGTGATCTTATACTTGGACAGGTCTGCTTCGTAACTTCTGCATTCAGAATGGAAATAAGCACACTGTTTCTCTGATCAGTTCTGTGCCCACGTTTTCATGTGCTTCCTAGAGTTTTGGCTTTCTGCTGGCCACCTTGATTTACTATAATCTTTGCACTAAATTAATGGTAAACTGAATACATATTTATGATGCATATGTTACTATAACTCATGATGATATTTTTCATAATGTTATCGTAAATCACTTAGGAGGGAGTTACAGTATCTTGTGAATTAGTATAGTCGTTATCGTAACTCAAAGTGGCCATTGAATAAGTTATTCTATAGCCATCTACAGAGCAGTACTTTTATATATATCTGATTACTTGTCTATGTCATGGTGATTTCAGATATGTTAATGTATGTGAACATTTTCTAAGTCATAGGAATCTATATGCTAATTAAGGGTACTACTTTTTTGGTCAGTTAGTCATGGTTCCATAACATATTATATTTTTTTCTTCAAAATTTCCCTTGACTGGTATCTTGCATGGAGTAAAATCTATTGTTTATGTTTTTTTTTTGTTGGTTTTCACTTAATGTACCATCGTCTTTGACTTGAATTATTTTATATCGTCGTTTGATGTTGACTAATGGTTCATTTTAAGCTGCTCTGATCTCTAGTGTAAACTACTCCCTCCATCCCAAATTGTAAGACGTTTGACTTTTTTGGCCCTAAGTTTGACCACTCGTCTTATTCAAAAAATTTGTGCAAATATAGTCAAATTTAAGCCATTCTTGAAGAATTTTTATTAATAAACCAAACCACGATGAAAGAAGTGATATTTTACACAAATTTTTGAATAAGATGAGTGGTCAAACTTGGTGTCAAAAAAGTCAAACGTCTTACAATTTGGGATGGATTGAGTACTTCTCAGCGTGCTGCTTTGTTTTCCTTTCATGATGCAGTACTACTTTGATAGTCTTCTGCCAAGAATTCCTCTCCCAGTAACTCGTCAGATTACAGCCAATCTTGAGAAGATGAAATTGCCCACTAAGCTTTCTGGGGCAACTGGAGACTCCAGTCGTCAGGGATCAGAAGATACTGTACGTCGTCCTCCTTCAGTGAAAGCTTCTCTGTCAGTTTCCTTTGGACAGCGTGCTCCACATCGGGCTTCCACCAGAGATTCATCCCCAGTTCGGCGAACAGTCACCCATGATGATCATCGAAGATCATACTCACCATCTCGTCGCAGTGGTAGCCGTGAGGGTCCTGACCATGATCGTTCTGACCGAGAACTGCATCGTTCTAGCCGTGACCATGACAGAGACCGGGACCGAGACCGTTCAAGCAGGGACCGGTACTGTTCAAGCCGAGACCTTGACCGTGACAAGGATGTCAGAGATTATCGTCGCCATGAGCATGATAGCAGGGATCGTGAGTACTACAGGTCCAGGCGTTCAGAAGAAAGGCAGGATGACAGAAGAGATCGTGAAAGTAGCAGGCACAGGCGCTCTAGCTCTCACCACAGAAGCAGAAGTCGTAGTCGAAGCAGGAGGAGCCGAAGCCGGAGCCGGAGTCGGAGCAGGAATGAGGAGCGATCCAGCCCATTCAGGGATGCGAATAAAGAGAAGGCAGCCACTGTGTCAAGCAACCTAGCAAAGCTGAAGGACTTGTATGGTGACATAACTGAGAAGAAGGAAGACAGTGATGCTGAAAAGCTTCACCGTGATTCATGTGCTGAGGAGGTCATCAGGCTGGGGGGGCCTCGATGGAGGTAACTTGAGACCTGTAAAACTGTAGTTTCCACTTTTTCTGTGCCAGCCTCTCTGTAGGCCTTCTCGGAAATAGTCTTAATATTCCCAAACTTGATAGAGCCGACTGGGCGACTGGTACTTTGGTATCTTGACTTGTTATCATTGGCATTTGTCATTAATGGATGTTGTTTGGTATGTTATTCCTATGCACTCTTTTTACATCGTTATGAAACTCTTACACCGCATTTCTAATTGCCTACAGCAAAACAGTAAATCTTGGTCTGCCTCTGTGAATGCCCTACGCTTTTGCTGAATTAGCTGCGTGGACGGGTCATTAGTTACTCAAGCAAGCAAGTCATACTCGCAAGTCGCGTTCGATCTGCTGGCCAACCATGGTCAGCACTTTTTTTTTTATATAAGGAACGTTCGATATGCTGGCCAACCATGGTCAGCACTTTTTTTATATACAAGGAGCGGTATGCATGAACTTGTACACTTCTGAGAGTTACGTTCTCCTAGATTAAAGCCTGTTCGTTTCGTCGTAAACGATCGTGGATTATTTACTACTGGCTGGTTTGGTATGAGAGAAAAATACTGTTTCAACTTATAATCCGCGATCGTATACGAGCAAGCGAACAGGATCTATGATAGGGGTTTGAACATACAAAATTAGAGATAGAAGAAGCTCTAGCTTGTGACGTCAAAGAGTGGGCTGTCACATTTTGTGATCTGTGTATCTTGAAGATCCATGGATGAGAAGGCCATCAGAAGGGGCTTGAGCCTCCAATCTTGTTGCACCGCAGTCTGTTGACGAGATAACGATTTGACCAGTACCTCATTGTCAGATATGAAGTTTGCTTCACCCAAGTGTGCTGTTACTGTAGTCTTTGTAGCTAGAGTTATTATGGCTGCTGCCTCTGCATGAAGGACAGAGAGTGCCGCTGGGACGGCCTTGATGAAGATGGAGATGCGTGCTGTCGCCTGTCGGTTTGTAAATGAAAACTCCCAAACCAGCTTCTCTGGGTGTGGCTGCCAGCGGGGAAGTCTGGTGAGAAATTTTTTTTAACACTTTTTTAAACTAATTTTAAATCTAACACTGTTTGTTTTTTTTTCTTCCTAAAACTAACACTTTTGGCCGCGCCTATTGCCATGACGCATCAAAACGCCTGTGCCGCGTGGCGAAGACCGGGGCGCTGACCGATGATGTGGCAGAGTTTGCCGCGCCACCGATCTTGATGCGATGTTCGGCTGGGCATTTTTTACCGAAACCGAAAACCGAACCGAACCGAAACCGAAACCGAACCGAATAGTCGGAGAGTTCGGTTTTTGATTTTTTTGATTTTTTCGAAGTTCGGTGTTAAATCCGTTTTTCTCGACATACCGAACCAAGTGAAAAACCGAACTAAAAGTGGAATGTTGTACCAAGAATCAAAACTGAAAAACCAAACTGTGTGTGTTGTAATGTTTTTTTTTTCCTGTTGTACATCGAACTAAAAACCCTACTCATCAATTGTAAATCTCCGATATTTTTTGCTCTTTATTCTCATTATGGCTAAAGCTCGAATTAAAGTCGGTTTTTGAAATTTTAGCAAACCGATCGGGGGTCATTTTCTGGAAACCGAATTTTTGAAAAACCGAACAAACCGAACCGAACCGTCGGTAAAAACCGAACGCCCAGGCTGAGGCAGTGCTGCGCCATCCCTCACGGCGCGGTAGAGTAGGAATGCAAATCAAAGCTGTTGTGTAAATGCACATCGCGTCCTCTTATGGGCTCCTGCTCTCTCTCTCATTATGGCTCCAGCTCTCATTAAAGACATTGAATGGACGTGCCAGTGCTAGTGCTAGCGCTAGTCGCCTAGGCTGCTAGAGTGCTAGTGCTAGGCTGCTAGGCGCCTGCCTACTGGCCGGCCAGCACAGATGGACGTGCGAGCGCTCGATGGCTGGGCAAAGCTGGAGCTGGAGATGCGATAGATTAAAAAAAACGGTATGACGTGGTAGTTCTTTTAGAGGGATTTTATTTTAGAGAATAATTCAATCAGAAAAATCTTGCAATTTTTTTATCTAGACTTTTGCAGTTACTTTAAAAGGATCATTAAATATAATACTCCCTCCGTCCAAAAAAGATACAATTCTTATTTTTAAGGGGTCAAACAATTTAAGTTTACTCACAACTATATGAAAAATAAAAAAATTTATGATATCAAATAAATATCATTAGATTAATTATTAAATTTATTTTGTGGTAAGTCTATTTAAAGACATAAATATTGGGACTATTAATTTGATTAGATTTTTTTAAAAAAAGTTGAGTTGTTCTAAGCCTAAAAGTTTTTTTTTACGAGGGAGTATGATGTACGTACATGCAATAGTACATACAGTAGTACTATACAAATCATATCCCTCCGTCCACACACGACGATGATTGATGGGAGTCTTTGGACAGAGGAGATTTGACGAGTCATGCCGTTCGTGCTCCCTATTCTCTGCAACCATCAGCACGTTTGCCAAACCCACAAACTTGAATGAACACTCACATCCCTCCGTCCACGAAGGAAAACAAAGGTACAGTAGGGTACAATCTTAAACCATATCAAATTTAATTAATAAATACAAATATTTATATCAACGATACTAAATAAGTCCTATTAAAAATTTTCTGTTTAGAATTTAATGTAACTATAAGAGTTGCAAAAAAAAAACTCAAAACTTTCTATTATAAGAGTTGCAAAAAAAACCCTCAAAACTTTCTATTGAGGGCTGTGCCAGATGTTTGCTCCACAAAATCAATCTCCTCCACGGATGTTTGTTTTTCCGACCAAAAATAAATTATAAGTTAGTAAGTTGACTTTTGTTTTTGAGGGTGCCCTAATAATGGGGAATAGTCATTTTTTGTCTTTACAATAAAATAGCTATCTGTCCAAGCTCAGTTTTGTTTAAAAAAATATATTGTAATACAGGAAAAATAACAAATTACAGAAGGCAGGCGCCTAGCCGAGCGCTCGCACGTCCATCTGTGCTGGCCGGCCAGTAGGCAGGCGCCTAGCAGCCTAGCACTAGCACTCGCAGGGCCAATCCGCGTAGCAATCCACGCAGGACAGCGTTGGGATGCAGCCTGCAGGGGCGCCTGGCGCGCAGGAGGAGTGAAGGACACGCATCCTGGCCGCAACGACGCATCATGGCAGTTTAGGCTCGCGGCAGTCGGCGTTTGAGGGCAGCGCCAGCGCGCGGGAGGCGCCAAGCGGGAGAGAGATGGCGCGCGCGGGAAACGGGACCACTACGAGTTGGCGAGCGAAAATTGAGAATAGTCCCGGTTTACAGGAATCTCTGGTGCTGTCTGTCGGATTCAGGAATCTCTGGTGCTGTCTCACACACAGTAGGACGCGATGTGCAGCACAACAGCTTTGATTTGCATTCCTACTCTGTCGCGCCAAGATCGGTGGCGCGGCAGACCCTGTCACGTCACCGGTCTTCTCCACGTCATTCTTCCATCGTTTTTGCCGCGCCATGGCAATAGGCGCGACCAAAAGTGTTAGTTTTGGAGAAAAAAACAATGTTAAATTTAAAATTAGTTTATAAAAAGTGTTAAAAATAAAAAAAATTCTCTGGTGACAGTGCTGCATCAGAGTAGCATCTTGTACCTGAAAGTGCGCAACTCGAATCAATATCTTGGTGCATCATCTGAAGGCAACATGTCACTAAACAAGTGCGCCAAGCTTGTAGGATGAAACACGAGAAGGCAGGCATGCTATGCTTAGCAAAGTAATCTCTGTTGGTGGAAGGCGAGGGATGTCATTCGTCAATTTAAACTCCAAAACCCTGCAGGCCGGAAGAGGCCGTTGGTATGGTTCCTCCTCAAGTCCTCTTGAGGAGTCATCGCTCCTCTACTGTTTATCCCAAAACGGTTCATAAGTGTTTAGTAGAGCTTCTCCGCTGAAGTTGCTACTAGAGCCAGAGTCGAGTTGTGCCAAATAAGCCTGGAACCCCTCCGGCTCCGGCTTATGAAGAAGCTAAACACGACCTACTTCGGAGAACTATATATAGACCCCATCTCTTTTTTTTCAAAAGAAATATGAATACCAATCCATAAAGAATTAACGTGTTATTTCACATGATGTTCATTTTGTAACCTGTTGCATCAATCAACGACCCTAACTGTTGATGAATAATCACTCAAGCATCAAAGAGTAAATTTAACTTTATTGAATAAGAATTTCATGTCTGGTAAAAATACAGGTCAGGAGGTATTTATAGGGGATGGAGTCTCTAGCAATCCTATTACAGTCCCCATTCTACCCCTGAATCTGCTATTACATTCAAGTCTGGCCTTCTCGGTTTCAAAAAAAAAAAGAGTATAGCCTTCTCTATTCAAAAGGGCAGTTCGGTCATTACATATTTGGAACTGTGTTTCTACTTCGCCCATTAGGCTTAGCCAGGGTGAGACGAGTCTTCGTGGGCCGGAGTCAAGTTGGCCTCGTTTCATTCTCCCTTGACTTCGCTTCAACGTGAAGTGGGTTTGCAACCTTTGACCCTCCGTCTTTGACTTCGCCTTTTTGTCTCTGGCTTCGCTGTTTGGACTCCGCTGAATACTTCCATAGGTTCTCCCTTGTTTATCACAACGCGGAGTCTCTCGTGAACAACAAGGACAATTTGTGGCTTTGAAAACACATTAGTCAAAACTTGTTAACCGACTTCGGGGACTACATTATTCGAGGTTGAATCCCCCGGGACTAACACTTATATCTGACCCATCCAGCTCATCTGGTGTTGTCCATCCGTGCTCTACACCCTCGGTCCCTAAATAAATCGACTTATCGAATTGTCTTAAGTCAATCTTTTTAAACTCGATTGAAATTATAGAAAAAGAACACTGATATTTATGGCATTAAATTATTATCATTAGATACATCACTCATCTAGTTGATGTCATAAATATTGATGCTCTTTTCCATAAATTCAATTAAATTTAAAAATGATTGGCTTAAAGACAACTTTAGAAGTTGATTTTGTTCTATTTGGAGACCGAGAGAGTATTAATAAATCGGTAAACTTTAGCACTATGTTTTTTCTCAACTGATTTCAATACTGACTGCCCACGTGTTTTCAACTGATGGGGCCAATCCTATATTGCAATGCCACTGACAAAAGGAAAAAAAACAAGAAAAATATTTACCGGAACGCTACTCCTAATCCTGCATTATTATACTGTACTAGACACCAATGAATCACCGACCCAGCAACAGCCTGTTCGTTTGGCTGTGGCTTGTCGTATACGATCGTAAATTTTCAATCAGAATAATATTTTTCTCTCACACAAACCAACCAACAGTACTACTTCACGAACCACCTGCGATACAAACCAGCCAAGCAAACGAGCCGCCCTGGTGCCCTCATCTCCTGCGCCGAACAGACACCGAGCCGCCCTTTTCAGCCATCGCCCTCCTGCCACGTGTCGCTCCACAACCCCTGATCGAGCGTCCACACGAGATCCTCACCGTTGGAAGATTCTCTCTCTCAAAATAAAAAAGATTATATCTAACGATAATAATAAAATAAAAAAATATATATCTAAATAAACGTTGACGCACCGCCGCTGGAGACTGAGAAGGGTAAGAGGAGGAAGAATTCGAGTCAAGTCTTGGAGCAAGCGGTAAAAATTTTCCCTTCCGCCAGTGCGATGCTTCCGTGTTTTTATCATCTTTTTCCTTTTATATTAGCGCGTTTGCGTTGATCCACGGGTTTGGCACCCGTTCCTTCCTTGCCCCCGGCGCAATCTTAGCTTCCGCGACCTCGCCCCGGCGATTTTCCTTTGCCGTTGTTTATTGCAAATCTTGGGCGCAAGATAGTCGCTGATTCGTTCGGCTTTAAGCCGTCGAGGTGATTGTTTGGTCTGGTTCTGGAACCTGGGCGGCTCTTTGCTCTTGGTGGCGTTGGTCGTTCACGGGTTCTTGAATCTTTCGGGCGGCCGGGGTGGAGCTGCCCCCGCCCGTGGTTGGTGAGGCGATTCTTGGTCGGGAGCTTTCCGTTTCTCTTCGGAGGTAGGAGTATGTGATAATTTCTTCCTTAGCTTGGATTGCTGGCTGGTGGACTTAGCATTTAGATAGTCTGTAGCGATTTGTGGAACTAAAAATTAGTGGACAAAAGTGTGGTGCCAAGATATTTTGTTGTGCCGCCAGGGGTTCTTCTCTCTTGCAATATTTTCATAATCATTTGGAGGACAAAATTACCATGTTATTTTTTTGATTGACCTTTTGGTAGGCATGATTGTTGTTGTCACCATATACAAAGATTGGTTTTGGTTCTATTCTTTGAGAAGAACTTAAGATTCTAAGTTGAAATGCATTCTCTTCCATCAGTGGAGTTTGTCGATGTGAGTTTTCAACTCAGGGTCTTCTCCAGGTTTGGTTTTGAAGTTAAAATTGTAGCTGAAGTGTATGTTCACATGTTCCTAAACTTGTGGATCCCTTAAGGATTATCTTAGTATTCTACAACTACGGCATATGTAGAAATCAATGAGAATCCTTCCTGCAGAAATTTGCATGCCCACACAGGATGAATTACAAGGTCAGTGACCTTAAAGGATAGAATATGGCATATGAGCCTCACACCTACCTCTGAGAAACTGGATTTTGACACTTGGTCTATTGTGCCATTTCAATCCTGTATTGTAGTGAACAATATATCGTATCTCAAGATGCTTAAATGAACGAGAAATATTTCCTTATTTTTCCTAAAGTTGCCATGACATACAACATTTACAAAAGCGGATACAAAAAGAGTTACAAAATTTGCAGCCATTTGGGTCGATCTTGATGCCTATACTACATATTAGCAGTATATTGTTGTTACCTGTATGAGTATCTTCATAAAGATATCGACTTCCTTAACTAAAAAGAGAGAGCTGAAGTGCTAAACAGCTTATTGATATCAAGCATTCCTTTTCTTTCAGGTGGAGTGGAGCTGATCTTCTACTGTAGGGGAAGAGAAAAGTACATTATCTTGTAAAATGTGCATTTTGCTACCTTTATCTTAAATCAAAACATCTCTGTCTCTGGAACAGCAACCAGTAATTTCCCATGCAACCTCTTGGTTGATGGATGTTCCTCCTGTTGAATCAGAAAGAGAAAGTGAAACAGATAGTCACCCTTTACTCATGGAGCATGTGATTGGCATCCCAAGGGATGATGTTGCTTCTACATCGACACCTCGTCGACACAATAATGATGGCATGGATCAATTGCCTCGTGATTCAGAAAGTTCTTCCGGAACAACTGCTGCATCTAACTCTCCGAATATTCCTATAGCAAGAAGAGATGATAATCGCCGTCGCCGTCAGCAAAGTCTGAATACTGGCTTCTGGATATCAATTGAACTAGTTGTAAATCTTATCCAGATTATAGCTGCTATCTGCGTTCTGTCTGTGTCAAGGAATGAACATCCTCATGCTCCATTGTTTGAGTGGGTCATTGGTTATACAATAGGTTGTATTGCAACTCTTCCTCATCTTTACTGGCGCTATCTCCAGCGCAACCAGCTGCCCACTGTGCAAGGATCAAATCAGAACTACGTTCCAGACAACAGCTTTGAAAGTAATTCTTTTACTGGGATTTCGCCACCTCATGTGTCTGAAGCTGGTGTTGTAACTGTCACAAATGGAGTCTCGAGAAATAATACGGTTACCACAAATCCAAGGTAACATACTGTACCTTGTAGATACATTGTTGCTTCTGTTTATATATTGATCTTTCTTTCATCATCAAGTGTCTATATCTGTGAAATATGCTATAAGTTGCATGAGGTTCAATACTTTACATATGAGCTATTAACGAAATGATGCACTGAGCCCTGAGTGTGAGTGGTATTACAAAGAAAATTAATCTGGCAAGATGTGTTTTCATGCAATCAGAGGTCTTCTGTTGTTTTCATGCAATCAGAGGTCTTCTGTAGTTACTTTCCTTGCCCACAAGAAGTAACAGTTCATATAATATGTGGACCTGGTTCAGGAGTATGACTAATCTTCTCAGATCGGATCTGTTAGATAAAAAAAAATGGAAATAGCTTGGCACTTGGCACATGGCAAGTAAAAGAACTCATTGCAGTAGCCTATCTAACATTTTATAGTCCATTGTTCTGGTTTCGTTGCAGTATACCTATGTTAGATCAATAATAAAGGCCATCAGAATCGTAAATATTTTGTTGGTTAGTTTTCTCTGAGTTGCATTCTCCTTGTTGTAGGGCCCAAGCTTTCGCTGATCACTTCAAGATGGCTCTGGACTGTTTCTTCGCTGTATGGTTTGTTGTTGGAAACGTGTGGGTATTTGGTGGACATTCTTCTGCCCATGATGCACCCAACTTGTACAGGTGTGCTGCTAACCTGCCATGATGCAGTACCTTTGCAACTGATCTAGATGTTTCATGCTGTACTCATGTTTTCAGGTTGTGTATAGCCTTCCTCACGTTCAGCTGCATTGGCTACGCTATGCCCTTCATTCTCTGTGCGCTGATATGCTGCTGCCTACCCTGCATAATCTCTTTAATGGGCTTCCAGGAAGATCTGAGCGAAAACAAAGGTGCTACTTCAGATGTTATCAATGCCCTGGGCACATACAAGTTCAAGTCAAAGAAGCCTCGTAACGGGCAGGGAAATGAAGCTGGCGGTGGAGTTTTTGCTCCTGGAACAGACAAGGAACGGGCTGTTTCTGCTGAAGATGCTGTGAGATTTTCTCTTGCCCGCCCCTCATGTTTACTTCACACCTATATATATCTCCTCTTGCGCATGATGTAAAACTGACTTGCGTCCTTTGGTCGGCAGGTTTGCTGCATCTGCTTGGCGAGGTATGTGGACAACGATGACCTCCGGCTGCTCCCTTGCGGGCACTTCTTTCACAAGGACTGTGTTGACAAATGGCTCAAGATAAATGCGCTGTGCCCACTCTGCAAAACTGAGATCGACGTCGCACCGACGACCACTCCCCCAGCCATTGGCTTTGGGCGCCGCCACAGCGACAACACGGTAGGAAACGATATTGAATCACAACGGTAGCTTTATCACAGCTTCCATGATGTATAGTGAGAGAGCAACTTGCCTCCTATGTGTGGCTTCCAGAAGAGCAACATGTAAATTATATAGTGGGAGAGAGATTATGTGATCGATCAACGAGTCCTTACATGATCCAGTGAGTAATCGCCTGACTGAAAAATGTGTCTTTGTTGTGAATATGTCCCCTATAGCTTTGTTCCCTCCAAAGTTATCTTGGAGCATCAAGCGTTTGGTCTCTGAAATAGCCATGATCGCTTTGTAGAGTAGTACTTCTGTATAGGCCAATCTGTTGCTGGCTGTTGCTGCACAAGAATGAAGTTTTTTTCAGTTACTCAAGAAACAGGAGAGTCGAGAGCAAATTTGAACATGAACTGGCCAAACAATTGCAAGCACGGGACAGAATCACGATATATAATTGCGTATCAGGAGGGTGGATGGCAACCAAATCTCGATAATTGTACACTAGGAACGAGGAACCTGCATTGCAACTTCACAGCTGGTAAGCTGGATATATGAATCATTGGACTTGGACGACAGTTATTTGATCAGGTGAGGTGTTGGCACAGGCCCCAAGCAAAGCAAAGCAACTGCCTAGAAGCAGATCCAAGATATGCAGCTGCATCTGCAGGCAGGAACAGAGCATGTGTGTGCCTCCACTGCCTCAGCACAGCTATGAGCTGAGTTGGTGTGGTGCCCCCTTCTCCGTCGGCCGTCGGCGTGCAGCTGCGGCATGCTACAAGTCTGGCTGTGGATGCCGAGCATCCAAACTCACTGCACCATCATTTCAAACAATTAGTTCACATCACCTCACGAGCTGAACAGTTCGATGGATGTGAAGATACTGTATTCTGTTTCCGTTTCCAACTGACACAGAAGTGCCAGAAGAAGAAAATCGTGTGTAGTGCTAGCCATCTGTTCAACCAAGAAGATGAAAGACTCTTGGAGGATTTATAACTACTAGTTACTGTATTAGGCTATGAGTAGTAGTTCAATTAAATAGCGCGTTAATCTGTCACAACATTGAGGAAAAAGAACTAATAAGCGAGGTTCATAGGATTAGTATTTTTATTGTGATTATACAGAAGTAAGTGGATCATAAATATTCTTTTTTGCCTCTCCAGAGTATATATACAGTCTCCACCGCCAAAGCAAACCAGAAACTGATGAAGAACCCCGGCCCAATCATTGTTGTTGCTTGCCTGGTGCTATACCAAAACAAGACAGACATCACAGGTCATGACAGGCACCATGTCTTCCTCTTAGGTAGCATTCCTTCTGTCCTACTCCTAGCTAATCAATCGATAAACTCATTGCAATCCAGCAGATCGAAGCAAACAAAAAGGAGGAGGAGGGAAACAAGTACAAGGAAAAATAAAGGAAAATCATGCTGTGAGAACCGAAGCACTGACATCGCTTTTCAAAAAAAGAGGAACAGAGTACCTGCCACGTACTCTCTATTTCAAATCAAAACGTCTTATAATTTAAAATGAAGAGAGTAATATATAAATCTCTATCTAGGAAAGGATGCGATTCTAGTTCTATCTTCCGCCAAACTGTTTATAGTTTAACTATAAATATCAATATTTATGACATCAAAATAAGTTTATTAAAAATATATTCTCTATGATAGTTTCAGTAACACTTATTTGGTATTATAAACATTAATAATTCTACTACTTTCTTGATGAATCCTGAAGGTTGACAATATATCTGCTTATTTTCATTATTCTTTTGACTAATAGTAAGCATATTTTTGACGCGATAAAGCAAGCAAACAAAAGTGGTTCACTGGCACGGTAGCAACTACTACGCAACAGTAGTATTGAGCAGTGCAGGCCCCATACATGATGAGGCGTCAGGATGGCTTCAGTTTCTGGACGCCGCCAGCTCACCTCTCAAATCTCACCACACACATGACACACCTTGCCCGTCATCAGATCAGTGCATGCACGTAGCATTTTGTGCGACGAAGCCTTATCGACACATTGGTCCCAAGGGCTGGGGCCAAGTGTCATTGAAACGTGGACAGTAAATTTGTTTTATTGTGCTGCATGTGAGGTATTTGTTTGCTCTCGCTTATCAAACATTGACACACGCTACAGCTTGAACCGCTACAAGTTCTTAGCCCTTTAGCGTTGGTTCTTCAATTTCTCTTAGCCCTACACCACATGACAAAGAATCATATAGAACAATATTCACAAATCTTTGGATGTGGAATTGGCCTCTTCTCTTTCCGATATTTGGGCATGCCAATGAATCACAAAAAGCTCAATAATAAAGATTGGAAGAAGTTGAAGATCGTTTCTAGAAAAAAAATTGAGTAGCTAAAAAGAAAAGCTTCTGTTTTATGGTGGACGACCAGTCTTGTGAGTAGCATTGCTATGTTTATGATGTCTTTCTTTGAAGTACCAAAAGACATTCTTAAGAAATTAGACTTCTATAGGTCTCCCTTGGCAAGGTGATAGCCATAAAAAATTATAGGGAATTCACGCAAGCCCACAAGTGTGAGTGAAGTCGTGAAAACTACACCCTACTCTATTTCATCGTGAGAGAATAATTCTAGAAGCTTCATTCATGAAGCTGTTTGCATAAAGAGTGTTGAGAAAAGAAAAGAAAAAAACAGGCCACTGGTACAACCGTGTCAAAGGGCGGCTTTGTTTGAACGAGAGACACACATGCGGGCGGGCGGAGAAAACGTGGTGCTCTGGCTCCGATCGCGCGCGTGTGATATAAGTATGCTGCTACGTTGGTCGCACGTGTGGTCCCTGCACGCACGGCACCGGCAGGCGGCAGATAAGCCAGCAGCGGTCACGTACCGGCGGTGGACGACCCAAAGGGCAGAAGCAGAACGTGGTGTGCCGGCCCGCCGGACCCGCACGTTAAACCTCGTGTCGTGTCGTGTGGGTGCATGGACAAGGCAGTCGACGACACAGGACACGGTGCATGCGCGGCGCGGATGGCGATCGGACATGCACGGATGCCGCCGCCGGATCCTGTTGCGGCCGCACTTGCCCTGCCAGAATGCTGCAGCCCCACGCGCGCATTGACCGGTCTCTCTTGTTCTGTCGCTCTTGCATGCGGGCCAAAATTACACGCCTACCCCGGATTTTTTTACCTGTAACTCGGTCCTCTTGTTATCACCCGTCCATCTCGAATCATAGGAAGTGCTTACACCCTCGCGTCCATCCGCCCGGACACATGCTTACTGATCCTGCGGATCGGCCCAGGCAACTGGCCTCTGGTCCTCCCCAACTTGTGCGCGTAGTCCAGAGCGTTTCCTCACTCCCGATCGTGATGCGGCGCTTCCTACACCCGCCATCCGCAGTGTTGAAAAAAAAAAAAAAAAACAGGGCACGTGTCAAAGGGCGGCTTTGTTTACCACACACATGCGGGCGGGCATGCACCCACCGCGCGCGTGTGATATAAGTATGCGCTACGTTGGTCGCCGTGTGGTCCCTGCACGCACGGCACCGGCAGGCGGCAGATAAGCCAGCAGCGGTCACGTACCGGCGGTGGACGATCAAAGGCCAGAAGCAGAACGTGGTGTGCCGGCCCGCCGGACCCGCACGTTAAACCTCATCGTGTCCATGGCAAGGCAGCGACGACACATCCCATGCGCGGCGCCTATGGCGATCGGACATGCACGGATGCCGCCGCCGGATCCTGTTCGCACTTGCCCGCCACCACTACGCGCGCATTGACCGGCGCCACCTTGGAGGGGGTCGTCGATTTTTTTACCTGTAATGCTCCAACGTATCACCCGTGTGTACGTTACGCCCTGTCCATTCTCGGACGTCCTCCTTGACCCGACCTTGCTAGCACCGCAATTCCCCACTAGGTAGGTTGTGGTTGCCGGCGATGTCGTGCTTCAAGTGTTTCAAACATTTCGGACAGATGTTTCAAGTGTTTCATTTGGATGTTGCAAAAGTAGATCTAGGATGTTGCATATGTTGCAATGATAATAGACGCATGTTACAAACGTATGTTTTGAGTGTTTCAGATGTTTCAGGCCTATGTTTCAAGTGTTTCATCTGGATGTTGCAGAAGTATATATGTATGTTGCATAACATGCATGTTGGAAGCGTTTGTTTCAAGTGTTTCTGGCGTTTCATACGTATGTTGCGATTACTTAATCTGGATGTTGCATATGTTTTGCAATGGCTACACACGTGTTTTCAAGTGTTTTAGCCGTTTTTGCAAGTGTTTCAGCCGTTTTCCGAGATATGTTGTAAGTGTTTGTCATCTGGATGTTGCAAAAGTAGTTCTGGTGTTGCACATGTTGCAATATACCTACCACAATGCTGTAGCTGCTGGGGCGACGTGCATGCGCATAGGAAACGAAGGGGGATGGCGGCAGGGGCGTGGACGGTCCCCGCGTGCGCGCTGGAAGCAGGGGAGCGGCGCAAGGGAAGCGTGGGGAGCAGTGGGGAGGAGTGGGGCGTGGCTAGTAGGGAAGCGTGGGGGGAGCGACGTGGGTGGTCCCTGCCTGTACGTGCAGTAGGCGCTTGCGTGGGCGTGCAATCGGAGCGGGCATCTGGAAGTGTGTGTACGTCCGGATGTCCGGACGTTAGCACTACCGCAAATCATGGGCCGTTTTGGTTTCTCTTCATTTTTATTATTATTGTATGCATATCTAGATATGTGATATCGTAGGCCTCTATTGCATGACTTATATATGCCTTGATCATTTAGTATTACAGTTTCAAGTTTTAGCAATTTTTTTTGTGATTAACTATAGCCACAACTGCTTGATTCAATCACAAAGCGTATTAAACGTCTCCTAGAAATAGGATCATATCATATAATTTAAAATGGCTCCATTTATCAAGATAAAATACATTTTTGAGATGGCAAGTGGGATGGGCCTAATAAGCTAGTACTAGCTACATATATTTCAGGTGACGACTACATACTGTAATTTTACTAATTGTAGTTGCATACCTTTTACCCATTATTAGTAAAATATGTGTAGTAAAAGTTCAGATGGCTAAGAGTAATTTTACTAATTGTAGTTGTATATACCTCTGTCCCTAAAAGAATGTCCCTAAAAGAATGTATGGGTTGCATGCCACTTTAAGTACTTCACATTTGACCAAATTTCTATTAAATAATATTTACATTTATGACTTAAAATTAATTTATTATGAAAATACATTTCATAATTAATCTAATAATATTTATTTTATATTATAAATATTTATGCTTTTTATCTATAATTGGTTAAAAGTAATATACTAAAACATAATACTGTTCCAGAATTGTATTCCTTCGGGGATGGAGAAAGTACCTTAATACCCATTATTACTGAAAGTTAGCAAAAGCTTCGTACATTCGCAGGCCCGGGCGGCTGCTTGCAACCAAGTTCATGTGAGTAGAGTACAGTGCTTATTTTGTGCCCTTCTTGCGTCACCTACCTGTTGCTATCGAAGTACGCCGTCAGTGCTTTTTTTTTGAAAACAGAGTCCCTTTACACCCTTTTTCCAAAATACTACATTTCATTCATGTCTTAATCATCACGTCGAAATTAGTGGCTTGATGTAAGCAATTCTTGTTTTGTATATGCACCAATCGGCCTGCATGCATCAGATCCGAGTCAGGAACCTGCTGGCTGCTGCCTTTTTTTCTAACCGATCCATGTACTACCTGAACTGACTGACCCCTGAGCAAGCTGAACGTCACCATTAGCGCACTAACTAACCGTCTCCGCTGGCAGCCTGGCGTATCAGTGCGGCGAACGGACGGATGTCTCCCAATCATTACACTAATCTAATCACGCCACAAATTCTTCCTAATGACCTGAAACGGACGCTATAGTACGCATACGTCATGGATCATACTAATAAGGCCCCGTTCAGCTGGAGGAATTCCGGATAAATCCGGAGGAAAAACACTTTTCCGAATGAAATATTGTGAGAGAAAAACAATATTTCGAATAAAAAAAGAAACGGGTCAAGAAATTTCCTAAACAACGCAAGTGAAATGCATGCATGATTGTTTGGTTTTGGTGGAACGAGGACAGAATCGTCAGTGGAGGCTCCCCATGTCGGCCTCAGGATAACGAGCCGTCGCAGTCATGTGGGCCCGGGGGCATCGGCCGTGCCTGGCCTATATGAACGCCCTTCCCGTTCCGGAGCAGGCCACCTCGCCATCTGCACCCGATTCGTCCTCATCTTCCTGTACTCTCGCCTCGCCTCACCTGCGCCACAACTGCCAAGCTCCTAGCTCTACTCCTGTTCCTCTTCCTCCTCCCATGGAGCTCGCAGCGTCCGCTTCCGCCTCCGTCTGCTCGGTGGAGTACCACCACCTCTCGGCGCCAGCGGCGGCCGCCGCTGACCGCGGTGGCGACAGCGCGCAGGAGGAGACGGCGACGACGCGGCTCGATCGGCGGCGGAGGAAGCGCGGCGGCGGCGGCGGCGGCTGCGCGGGGCTCCGGCGGCGGTGCTACGCGGTGCTCAAGCAGCAGCGGACGCGGCTCTACATCCTCCGCCGGTGCGTCACCATGCTGCTCTGCTGGCACGAGCACGACCTGTCAGACTGAGCATGGGCCGGGCCGGGCCGGGGGCGAAGACGGGCCCTGGTTTCCGCGCTAGATCTGTTTCTTGTGTATAGGGTAGGGAGATGGAGGTTTTAATGCGAAAATTATCAAACGCTGGTGGAATCTGGTTTTCAATTCGGTGTGTGTTTGGGCATGAATGAATGACGCAAATATGACAGATTTCTGATTCGACGAAACTGCAATCCGTGCCATGCATGTCTGATCCTCTGTAAATCCCCTTGTGCACTTCACAGGAACTGCAATTGCCACGCTCGTCAGCACATGTGTTTTGTTGATGAGGGATTGCACAAAAAACTTGCACTTCCTTGTGACTCCCGTTTGCAAAAGAAGTTTTTGAAAAGGGCGATGTTTTGACAAAAGGAGGCTGATCCCATATTTCCAGTACAAACAAGCTTAGCTTTGGTAACTTTACCAAAATGCATAATGGACTCCATATTTGCGAGACGATCAAGAACCATATACATAGAATGTCCAAAATTAGAGTTTGGATGGAGAAAATCATCCAGCTGAAACCAACTTTAATTTGGGCTAAGCCGGCTTTTTAAACTTCTCTAGACCGGGGAATGGACCTTATCGTTGTGTTTCTCGAAAAAACGTATATAGAACTTCCAAATCAGTGTTTAGATGAAGAAATTACGCTCTCGGCAAAATTTCATACCATAGAAAATGACTAACCCGGTACTGATGGCCCAGTCCGAGATTGAGTTGGAATTTTGACTCCTTGCAGGATAAGACCACATATCCTTTATAACTATAAGCGGATCACGACTGACTACAAAAAAAAAAACCAATATACTTTTAACTTTCTTTTGTCCTAATATCTTTCAACATTCATGGTGCTCTTCGTCTCTCGATTTGACGACCAAGGATGACGTCCAAGGCTTGCTAGTCGACCCAGAACAATCCGCTGACATCCTCACCCTAACAAAGTCCCTCCCGAGTGGAAGTTTCGATGGCTCCTTTGCTCCGAAAACTAACCGTTCTTCGTTACAAAAGCATGACAATTATTATTTACTTGTTTGCTTGTAAACCTCGCTACTTTTTCACCATAAAAGCCTATTTGTTATCCACTATGTTTTCCTGTCCATTTTGCAATCCAAGCATTGTAGCGCTTTAACTATGGGACTGATATTCACGTGTCAACACGCAACATAATGTTTACCACATTTTTTATTAGGAGCACTGGCTTAGTTTTTTTCGTGGGAACTGGACTAGGAAACAACACAACTAAGAGAGCAATTTGAAAATGATATAGATTTCGGAGAAATATGCTAAAGATAGATTGGGATAGTGAGAAATCCAAATAAAAACATTTACAAATCTTCAAAATATATCTAGAAGCTTCTATAAATTAGATTTAGCTTTAGAAAACTGGAAAAATACTTAGAAACAAAAAACTCAAAAGATTTTAATTAGTGTCTAAACGTGTCTCTAAAACTTTTCACAATAAAAACAAGAGATGCAACCAACATAAATGCAACATACATTAACGTTAATGACATTCATACCGGTTGCATCTTGCTTTTTAGTTGTGGATTTTTTTTTAAAAAAATGTGTTTAGACATTGATTAGACTATCTTGGAAAATTTTCAAATTTTTGGATAGGTTTTCTCATTTTTTTAGATGAATCTATTTTATGGAAGCTTCTAGATATATTTTTATGGTCTTTAAATATTTTATTTGGATTTATCATATCTTAATCTTCTCTAAGGATATTTCTTAAGACTTTTATAGGCTTAGAGATATTTTTTATAGTTTACAACCTTATTTAGGTGTTTACTTGAACCTTTTCAGTATAAAATGATAAACCACCTTCAAAATCACTTTTAATGGGACCAGGAAGTTAATTTGAACCATTTTGACTTGAGAGAGGTATTTTGCCCGATTTTATAGTTTGTAGAGGAAAATTTGACTAGAACAAAGGTAGAAACAACTTTTTGCCTTTTCCTTATCGATAATGATACGTAGCGGGCGCTCGTCCGTCCGGACGGACCGCTCTGCCCATGTCGCTTCCTTCCACGCCGCTCGCTCCCCCGCATGCACCCTGCACGCCGCGGCCGTTTTCATCCGCTTGCCGCGGCCGCCTCCACTGCGCCGCCTTGCCGCCTAGACTTTTTATGTAGGGCCACCTCCACCACACCAGTTCGTCGTGCCAGCCGCCCATATGTTGCACTAAAAGCATATGTTGCAAACATATGTTTCAAGTGTTTCAATATTTTAGAGGTATGTTGTAAATGTTTTTATATGGATGTTGCAATGGATATACACGTATATTGCAAATGTCTATTCAAAATGTTTTAGCTACTTTAGATATATGTTGCAAGTGTTTTATCTGAATGATGTATATGTTGTAGTGGATATATATATATATATATATGTTGCAAGCGTATGTTTCATTAGTTTTCAGGCGTATGTTGCAGCAAGTGTTTCATAAGCAGGTGCGGGAAGCTGGCGCAGCGGTCCCGCGTGCGTGATACGGAGCTAGCGCAGGCGGTCTCCGCGTGCGCGCGGGAAGCAGAGCGGGTACGGGCGGTCCCACGTGAATGCGTGCGGGAAAGAAGCGCTGCGAGAAACATGAGCAACGCGGCAAGCGGCGTGAGACACGGAGCGTCGCGAGAAACAGAGCGGCACTGGACGGTCCTCGCCAATCCCATGTACGCGCGGGCGTGCAGCAGATACGGACGTCCGTGTAGGCATCCAGCATCTAGTCACGCCGTTTCTTTTTTATACGAATAAAGCCCAGAACTAACTGGTCCATTGGGATATCATCTTTTCCTTGTTAGAAAAAACCCACAGCTAACTGGCTCATTGCGCTATCTCATGGGCTTCACCTGTGCAGGATGGCCCGTTAGGCCTGCCCTTACTCAGCGGCCGTGCAGTTTAGGGCTCGCGGCACCCGCGAGGCCGCGACCCCCAATAAGCACGGAACCCTAGCCCAAAACCCCCTTCCTCCACTCACGCCCCTCAGCCTCTGCTCCTTCCGCCGCCGCCGCTGCCGCTGCGTCTCCTCTACAGGTACGCTCGCTTGCCGTCTCCCCCCTGCGCCGCCGTTCCCCGCGCCGTTCTGCGAGTGGATGGGGCGCTCGTTTCGTATGGGTGACGAGCCGATGCGCGCGCGTATCTTGCTGCGCGAAGGCTTCGGTTTCTGGATCGGTTGGTTAGCGGTAGGCTATGGGATGCACTTGATTGGTGTGCCTGGCGTGTTTACGTGCGTCTAGTGACCATGCCTGCGTTTGATGTTGCAATCTGCTCGAGATCTTCCTGCTGCCATAACGAGGATGGAGCTTTGGCGGCTCATTGATTCTTCTTGTTCCCGTTTGTTGTTTGGCTGGCTCCTCTGATCTGATGGCGTGGGTGGTTATTGCATGTCACTGATGGCGTGGGTGGTTATTGCATTGACATGCAGGTAAGAAGGTGAGGAAGAGGGCGAAATGGTGAAGCACAACAACGTTATCCCCAACGGGCACTTTAAGAAGCACTGGCAGAACTATGTCAAGACGTGGTTCAACCAGCCCGCCCGCAAGCAGAGGCGCCGCATCGGTGAGCTCTTCCCTCCCTCCCCTCTTTCAGCATCCCAATATGTTGTGTGCTTGAATTCTAAGACTTAGTTGTCTACTGATAATTTGTTTGTCTTGCCCTGCAAATTGCAATACTCTCTCAATATCGTCGACAATAAATCTGTGCAAGTGTTAGTTTCTTGCAATTTCGTACATTTGGGATTGTGTTTGGTTGGTCATCTAGTGCTAAAAGGATACTGTGGTATCCTTATTGATACACAAGAAATCCATGATTGAATAGTTTGCCATTCTGAAAACTGTAACACCAGTTAGCTGTTCCTTGTTCATACCACAACACCTTCACCTTGTGTCTTGTTACTTCGTTAGTTTGTTACTTAGTGCATACACTAGTGCCAATCATGATGCCACAAGATGCTAATTGACCTCTGCATGCATCTAATTTGCAGTACACTGGTTTCTTTGCTATACCACTGTTGTGCTATCAATGAAGGAATCAAAATAAAAGTTCCCTTTACTTAATAATTGCAATTGTGTTGCATCTTTACTGACTACTTGTGTGTAATTTTCCCCCTCATCTTTCTCATGCTTATTGACAACTTTCTAATTCGACCCTGCTATGTTCTGTATGCAGCTCGTCAAAAGAAGGCTGTGAAGATATTTCCACGCCCAACTGCTGGTCCTCTTCGCCCCATTGTGCAATGCCAGACTCTCAAGTACAACATGAAGTCAAGGGCTGGGAGAGGCTTTACCCTTGAGGAGCTGAAGGTGATGCATTGCTTTGTTATTGTCTTTCCATTTGAGTTTTCTTGATCCATGTTGCTTTCTTGAATGCTCTAGTTTGTGTTCATTGTTGTTCTGGTATCAAACAATCTGCTGCTGTATGTATACAATTTGTATGGCACTTGTTATTTTTTGTGTCAACTGCTCAGCTGAGGTTGATATGTTCTCTTTTGCATGATGGCAAGTCTGCTGATGTTTGCATGTTTTTGTAGTCAAGTAGCTTGGACTTTTCCTTCCCTATTCTGAGTATCAGTATGGTGTTTACATTTTGTTTCAGATGTGGCTTGATTGGCATAAGTTTTTCGTTGATCCTCATCCAGTTAGCTTCTGACCAGCCACACTTTTCATCGATGTATTGTGTTACATCCTTGGTGTTGATGTTTAGAGTTATCTTATTGATTGCAGGCTGCTGGCATTCCAAAGAAGCTTGCCCCGACCATTGGCATTTCTGTGGATCACCGCCGCAAGAACAAATCTCTTGAGGGACTGCAGGTCAATGTCCAGAGGCTTAAGACGTACAAGGCCAAGCTGGTTATCTTCCCAAGGCGTGCTCGCAAGGTCAAGGTATGGGTAGAAATATTTTCCTGAATGCCTTGCGCCCTTGCCCCTTGAAGACGTCCTGGTTGCTTTTGACCTCTAATCCCTGATCACCTACCTTCAATGCAGGCTGGTGACTCTACTCCGGAGGAGCTTGCCACCGTCACCCAGGTCCAGGGTGACTACATGCCTATTACTCGTGGTGAGAAGCGCTCAGTTGAGGTTGTGAAGGTTACCGACGAGATGAAGTCGTTCGCGGCCTACGGCAAGCTCCGCCTTGAGCGGATGAACAAGAAACACCTCGGTGCCCGCCAGAAGAAGGCGGCCGAGGCGGAGAAGGATGAGAAGAAGTGAAGCAGGTAGACAGTAGTAGATGATACCCTGTTTTTTCTGATGCAGTCGCTAGTGGATGATACTACCGTCAGGTGCTTGTTCTAAGTTCTGTTTTGTTGCTGGGAATAGAGACCAGACTATAGTTTTGTTGCCCAACTGTTTGATACCTGGTACTTGGTGGCGAACTCATCAGCTATTCTTATCTAATGGCTCTTAGGATTCTTGCCAATGTGTGCGTTTCTGAAATTGCTTCATGTTTCATGAGGCTTCTCTGATAAGATTGCGTATATCTGACATATATCTTTCTTGTGTGGCATCAAATAAATCTGGCTATGTAGTGGACGGGGGAAAGCGATGTTTAGGAGTACTACGTATGGTATTTACTGTTTCACGAAAATTGGGTTGAAGCTTAAGATGCAGGTGAAACATGATACGCATCTATGATTGCCTGCAGCTGCAAAAACATGCTCCGCAAATGATCTAGCCAACAAAGGTGTTCAACTGTTGAGTTTTTTTTGTCAAAAAAAAAAAAATGTTGCGGTTTCATCTAGCAAAAGGAAAACTGTGGGACTTTTCCCCTTGTTCTGTGGAGAAGAGGAGACTGCGGAGTCTACGAGGTAGTCGATGGTGTGAAGCTTTATCCATTCTATCCGTGTTTGCGTCAGAAGAATCTAAATTGCTGGGAAATCTCTTCGACGACTCGAAGGTGCGTCGTCGCGTGCTCGCGTAGTATAAATATACCTAAGCCGATTGCTCATACCATGATCCATCGTACCTGCGGCCTTGCGCAATTGAGCCACACAACTCAACACCACCAAGTTCCTTGTGCAGCATTCTGAGCTCGATCGATCATCAGCTAGTGTGATTCTGTCCTTGCCATGGCCGCCGCTGATCGCAGTGACGGCACTCCATCCTCCAGACCGGCGCCGCCCTGCCACAAGTCCGACGACACGACGGTGAACGACGGCAGCCCACTGGAGCTCGCGCTCGACTGCCTCCCGGCACTGCCCGCGCTGCTGTTCGGCCTGTTCCTCGCGTGCAGCCTGGTCCTGACGCCGCGGCGGCAGGTGCACGAGCACGACAGGCCACGGGGCGACCTGGCGTTCGTGGTTTTCACGTACGCCGACCTCGCCGCGCTCTTCTGGTGCGCCCGCCGCGTCGAGCGGCTGGCGGCGGCGGCGGCGTCATCGTCTCCTGGCCTCGTGCGTGAGCGTGACGAGAGACGGCGGCGTCTGCAGGTCGCAGTGTGGGTCCTCTCCACCGCACTGAGCTGCGCGTTCGCTTACCGGGTGTCACTGATCATGCCGCCCGCGTTGGTGCTCGTTGTCTGGGCCATGGCGTCGTCCGTCGTGCTCGTCGGTTTCTATGTCTTGGTACTCTGCGAGGATCAAGGGTACTACCGTCTCTTGGAGTCCGCCGGAGACGGGGAAGACGATGGCCTCGGCGAGAAGAAGAAGAGTGGCGCTGGTGGCGGCGAATTGGTTTAGGACGAAGCAAACGATAGATTTGGTATGTTTTGTGGCTCGTCTTAGCTTGGGTTGTGATGCGCATAATGCAAAGCCTGTAACTACTTCATCAATGGTATCTAAGCAACATCTGTATTTTCACACGTCCATTGTTGTCTTGTTGATTGTTCTATCTCCAAAACACACATCACAGTCACATAAACCTTGGAGAGCCCAAAATGTGAGTTCACTGATACGGGCTATGTTGCTATAGCAACGTCTACTTTACTGGCGAGCATCGCTCGCGGTCTGTTGGACGACGGCCGGTGACTGCCTCGGTATTCCTGCCCAGATGGCAACAGACTCACGCTTAGGCTCAGGTCACGTCACCTCGGGTGGCGCAGACCACCATCTCAGGAGCTAACACTGGCGGATGCTGACATGTTCAGTACGTCGCTTCGGGACGACCATACCGGCGATGTCTGAGACAGCTCTACCGCACGACGCCACGAGATCTTTCACTAGGCTAGTGCTGAAGAAGGTCAATTCTCCGCTTACTCGTGAGCCTCCCAAGCAGCTCCCTGCTAAGCTAACACTATTGCTGCGGAGCAAGCGCCTGCCGGCTCAGAGCCTCTCTTGTGTACCTTCTTCTAAGCAAGGTGAGATCTGATCATGCAGCGTATGGGTTACACAAGGGTCCATCAGCGCCCATCCTCGTCGTAACTGAAGGATAACGACAAGATCTTCGATGGCAACCGGACCGCATCCAACATCGAAGTATTGGACGTGCTCTTCCCAGATGGCGGAAAAGGTTCGTCTAGGCAGCTGAAAAGATGTAAGGCCACCTTCTAGTTGCACCGCTGCGTCGGTATTGGTTGTTTTTATTTATATAACATTGAAAAGTGAGTTCTTTTGGTAGGATGGTACAACACGGCTGTTTTAGGTCGACCTCCTTGACGCTCGACAGACGCACGTTGTTTGTATGATTCAAACTCTTCTTTTTACAATGATACATAAATCTTTTGCATATTTGGGAAAAAACGTCTAATTATTGGCACCATTTGCAAATTGAGCGTGGAAAGATTTCTCGTGGTGAAATTTGTCCGTGTGCTTGTATTTTTCTGGATTCATTTTTGTAATGGCGCTATTCTAAAAATAATTCCCTCTAAAAATAGTCTATTTTTTTAGTCAGCCGGTGACATCATCTGCTTCTGAACATATGTTTCCAGAAGCGGTCCAGTTGGTGAACCTCTTGAGGATGTGTTTAATTCGCGAATTTTAGGAATTTGGCTACTGTAGTATTTTTGTTTTTATTTGACAATTAGTGTTCAATTATGGACTAATTAGGCTCAAAACGTTTGTCTCGTAATTTCCAACCAAACTGTGTAATTAGTTTTTTTTTTCCGTCTATATTTAATGCTTCCATGCACGTATCGTAAGATTCGATGTAATGGCTACTGCAACACTTTTGGGGAAACTTTTTGGAAAGTAAACACAGCCTGAGTCGTCTCTCGAAGACAAGTAACATCTTAAAAAATCGTCTATATAGTACTCTAGTTAAAGTATGAGTGCTCAAACACGAATTATGCCACGATGATTGTACGTATGACGTATCCGTACGCGGAAACCTGAGACGGCGCACGCGGCTTGGTTCTTGTTCACTACTGCTATTCCTCTGCAATTTCAGAGCTTAATTCATGGCACTTCTGACGCGGTTCCGCGTGGAAGGGAGGACCATGCACGGCAGCATCAACGTCATGTTTTGCTGAAGAGACCCAGACCACACCGCGTGAACTCTGTCACTGTGAGAGATCAATTTGTGAACGTTGGATGTTGTGTTGAAGCCCGAATGCACGGTATCCCCGAATCTTAAGCAAATTGTAGCGAAAAAGATAGAAACTACAATCAGTCAATCCTAACAAATTCTACACCATTACAGTCCTAACGTGAGATCGAGTTGGATGTTGACCAAAGTAGCCCTTTTCCGCCAAGGTAGTTGAAAGCAAGGTGACAATTGGATGTTGATCCAAAGTAATGACCTCAGTACACGCGCGTACAAAATCATCTTGATTCTGTCAAAAGCCACAACCGGCAGCAGGGAGCCTGGTGGAGATGGTGTTTGGTTAGAAGATGTAACATTATCTGATCATGGAGGGAATGAAAAGTGATACTAGTTGTTAAGAGTCAAAATATGATCAGACGAGTTAAACATGGATTACAAAATCATGTGGAAACAAAAGATCAAATTTAGATCAATTTCCACCAAATTGACATTAGGGTCTCCATGTCGGTCAATAAAAGCTAGCCCAAACTCCGTTTCGAAACCGACCTGAGTCAGTTTTGGCAGTCCGAATTCAAGTCATGTTTTTTCTTTGAAAACAACTCATCATATCTCGTAAAAAGTTTATAAATTGCATGTGGAATAACTTTTTTATTGAAATCAGACTCTCTTTTATTTATGAGAGAATCATGACCGATTGAGAGATCCATCTATTCAATCAATTAAAAAACAATCTACTACATAATTTATCCTACTTTCCTATCTACTCCTCCTTGTTCTCCGTTGTTGCTGATGGTCATTAGTTCAACAACGACGAAGCTCTAGAGCGATCGTATCAGCTAGGGTAGCCCATAGTCACCGCGTATCCGGACAGGGTCTTTTTCTGGACGTGTAGGGTTTCAGGTTTTAAGAGACCTCGTCGACATGTCTTGTGTGTCGCACTCCTGATAAGTCTCCTCCGGCGACGTATTTTGAATGTCACGCTCATCGCTAGAGGCACCACATGTGTGTTAATGTGCCAACACACTGTCGACGACCAACCTAAAAGTCAGACTAGGCCGGTTGCAAAAAAAAGTCAGACTAGGCTAGTGTCGGCTCACCTCTACCAAGCATTCTAGCTCCTTGGTAGTGTGTTCACCGGATTTAGTATCAACACTCGTGGTTGGTTATAGCCAACCCTTATCTAGGCACAACGTAATTAGATATCTGCCTATTCACTGTTGATTCCTCCCTTCTTCAAGCGATATCACACTACCTGCCGCCGCCACTTGAGCGATTCTGATCCCTGTGCTTCTCAATAACATTACCATGCCAAACTAAAGATATCAAGTAATCATTAATCCCACTGCTATCCTTCGCACACATGTTTTGATCTAGATCAGTAGCCCATGCAGTGAAAGGACAAGCAACATGCTGTAGGTCTTATGTGGGGACGTTTGGTTGCCTGGGTATAGGTCAGCCACAGGCTCCCCGAATAGGGATGAAAACGGATCGGATACGAACGGATATCACTCATATTATATTTGTTTTCATATTTCTGTTCGGATTCGGATTCGGACACGGATAACGTTCAGATACATATACGAATACGGATTGACTCGGTTACGGATACGAATAATGAGTATCGAATACGGTATGAATCGGATTCGGAGAAGGTCGGATACAAATATCTATTCGGATATTGAGTAAAAGCAGCATATATATATATATATATATATATATATATATATATATATATATATATATATATATATATATATATATATATATACGTACGTCATAAACCATTACACCACTCTATGAGTCCATATCCATCTAGATTAAGCCGAAAGACTAAAGAGTAAAGCAACAAATAAGATAAAGATACGAGATACATCATACATCAAACATCATATAAGCACCAATCTTCGCGGCATGAGTAGAAATAGCCAAGCACATTGCTTCATGGGTCTCATGGAGTCATGGTCATGGATTCAAGATCTACAATCCTTATATAGGCCATTTTTTCATTTTGAGAAAGTTTGAACAAAATGTAGTTCAAATTTCACAAGTGTGTGACATAGTTTTAGAAAGTCTGTATGAGATTTAAGAATTTATGACTAGTGTTTGATAAAACTTTCTCAAATGGGAAAATGAGCTATGTAACAATTGTATATCTTACTGAGATGATCAAACTTGGTATTCAGAGTTTTTTCATCTGAGGTCATTTAGTGTCTCATTTGAGCAAGTTTGACCAAGTCAAATTTGGTCAAATGAAAAAACAACACTTTGACTCTAGTATTATGAACTCTAAATGACTTCAAATTGAAAAGTTTTGAATACCAAGTTTGTTCAACTCATCAAGATCTACAATTCTTATTTTGGTCAACTTTCCATTTAAGATAGTTTGGACGGTTTAAATTTGTGATTTTTAAATTTCGATGCTTACAAACTAGTTTTCGGAACCATAGATTGTCTCAAATTGAAAAGTTTTGAATACCAAGTTTGTTCAGCTCATCAAGATCTACAATCCTTATATAGGCTATTTTTTCATTTGAGAAAGTTTGAACAAAATGTAGTTCAAATTTCACAAGTGTGTGACATAGTTTCAGAAAGTCTATATAAGATTCAAGAATTTGTGACTAGTGTTTGATAAAACTTTCTCAAATGGAAAAATAAGCTATGTAACAATTGTATATCTTGCTGAGATGATCAAACTTGGTATTCAGAGTTTTTTCATCTGAGGTCATTTAGTGTCTCATTTGAGCAAGTTTGACCAAGTCAAATTTTGTCAAATGAAAAAACAACACTTTGACTCTAGTATTATGAACTCTAAATGACTTCAAATTGAAAAGTTTTGAATACCAAGTTTGTTCAACTCATCAAGATCTACAATTTTTGTTTTGGTCAACTTTCCATTTGAGATAGTTTGGACGGTTCAAATTTGTGATTTTTAAATTTCAACGTTTACAAACTAGTTTTCGGAACCCTAGATTGTCTCAAATTGAAAAGTTTTGAATACCAAATTTGTTCATCTCATCAAGATATACAATCCTTATATAGGCCATTTTTTCATTTGAGAAAGTTTGAACAAAATATAGTTCAAATTTCACAAGTGTGTGACATAGTTTCAGAAAGTCTATATGAGATTCAAGAATTTATGACTAGTGTTTGATAAAACTTTCTCAAATGGGAAAATGAGCTATGTAACAATTGTAGATCTTGCTGAGATGATCAAACTTGGTATTCAGAGTTTTTTCATCTGAGGTCATTTAGTGTCTCA